GCCAAGGCGGGCTCCATCCTTGCCAGCTACCTCAAGATGCTGCCCATGGGCCTGATGATCATGCCAGGCATGATCAGCCGTGCACTGTTCCCAGGTAGGAAGGCTCTGGTGCTGAGCCAGGGCTGCAGGGCACTCGGGGTTCTGAGGCTTGGTCCTACAGAGGCGACTAGAAGGAAAGGCAAAGGAGTGGTACATGAGCTGTTGCCCAGAATGGAAGGAGGCGGGGAGTGGTCCCCGGGGCCACAAAGGGACGGACACAGATGACTTGGCACAAGGTCCAGATGAGGACCACGTATGGTTGTGGGACCTTTATACTCTGTGCTCTGCTATTCCCTTGTCTGCAAACTAGAGAACTTAACTATCCACCTGACAGGCAACAGAAAGATACTACGACTCCAAGTGTTCGGGCCTCTGGATGTGGACATGTGCATTTCCCAAGGTTGCTTTGTCGGGACCCTGAGACCAAGAGTCCCCAGCATAGTAACAGCCTGCCAATTGGCTCTGGGTGGTTCCCACCCCAGCCCATTCAGCAGTTTTTCCGTCTGTAACAAGGACAGCCTTCCAAGTCTGAAACATAGTAGCCCAAGGGATGGTGGCTCTCAGGTCACTTGCAAAGGGGACTCCTGTGAGTCCAGGGACAAGGGACCCCAACCCACCTGTGCCGCCTTGTCTGCAGAGCGCTGGGCCTGCATCTTCCTTGATGCATCTGCCTCTTCTCTCCCCCGACCATGTGGCCATGGGGAGCCACCCAAGGGTCCCCCAAAGGTCCCTCGGGTTATGTGGGGTACGCTCAGCTGCCGGCGGGGTGGTTGGGCTGGTCCATTGGCCATCTGCTCTGAGTGGCGCCTTCGAAGAGGGACTGAGCGCTCCCTCACCTCGAAGTATTCATCCGACATGGAAGAGGCCACAGAGGGCCGCCGGAGTCCAGGGCCATGGCCGGAGCTGCCAGAGAGGCTGTCCTGGTCACTGAGAGTCACGTAGTCATCATCGTCTTCCTCTTCTTCTCCACCATCCAGCCCATTGGGGAACACGGACCCAATGCCATCGGGGTCATCCTGGGTCACAGACAGCTGCCGCTGGAGTGGGGGATGGCTTGGCTCCACCGTCCTGGGTAGCCTGAGGTCCGTCCCATTTGGAGGTGTCTCCTCTTTCGGGGTCTCCAGAGCCCAGTCCACGTCACTGCCCTCCTGGGCAAGCAGGTCTGCCACGGGGACTGTCCGGGGCTTCGGCACAGGGAGCTGAGGCTCGGGGTCTCCCCGGGGAAGGCCATTCTCAGCTGGGACCCCATCGTGGGGGTCACTGGGCCCTGGGGGTGGGCAGGGCTCTGGGGAGGGGCGTCGTTCCTGGCTCTGTTTCCACAGCTGGTGCTGGGTACTGGCATGGGAGGTGTCCCGGATCTTGATGCGGTTCATCTGACTGGGCTGGGGGTTCCAGATATTGGGGTCGATAATGTTGATGTAGCCCAGGATGTCACTGCCAGGCTCTGGGTCTGGCTCTACCCAGGTGGGCAGGTATTCAAACATATTGGCCTTCTCCAGGTTGAGCAGTCCCGGATGGACAGGTGGCAGCAGCTCAGGGAAATCCCCCGGCCGCTCAGCCAGCATGGGGCCCCGCAGCCCTGGGGGTCGCTTCGTCTCCTCTTTCTCGGAGGAGGTCTTGGCAATCTCATCGGCGCTCTTGGCCTTGACCAGCGCATACTTGGGGTTGACGAGCTTCTTGGCCACGGTGTCCGTGGATACCAGGGGGACTACAGAGGGTAGCACGATGGGTTCTGGCTCCGGCTCCTTCTCCATGGGGATGTCCTTGAGGTTGACGCTCTGAGACATGAGGTACAGCTCCTGGAACTGCCGGTCAAACATCTCCACCACCTGGCCAGACAGCACGGAGATCACGTTCCGGTCTGTCCTGGCAGCTGACCACGTGAAACTGTAACACAGAGGCACAGGCAGCTCTGGTCAGGCGCAGGGACTTCCCTCCGGCCCAAGACCCCTATTCTAGTGAGCCTTCCTGATCCCTGCTGCAACGGACATCCAAAGAGTCCACTGTGAATCCCCTGGCTGGTGTTCACCAGATGGTGGCTGCAGGGTTCTGGGACTAAGAAATGGCCTGTGGGGCCCAGAGGGCAGGGCACAGCTGTGGAGTTGAAACTGAGTCCTGGCTGCTACTGGATTCATTGAGACACTCATGTCCAGTAGGACCCGGTGGCTAGTGCCATCACGGGTCTTAGCTACCACCAACCCTGGAGTGACTGTAAGCAGCCCTGCTATACTGTCTAATGGTACCTAAGGTTGCACCTGTCCCCACTGATGACGCTCAGAACGACCATCCTGTGGGCTTGGGAGGGGGCAGGTTGGCCCCCACCTCACCTCCAGGCAGGTTCACACTGTAGGTTGGAACAACCGTCTCCTCGGACAAAAGCCTCCTTGCCCGCCCCCAGACACAGGCAGCCAGGTGTGCCCAGCTCTGCATACACCTTAGCAGTTTTAGGACCAATGAACCGGAATAACCAGGGTGTCCGGATTAAGGGCAGAAACCAGCTGGGAACCAAAGGCGCCAACTCCTCACAGCGGCCATGGAGAAATCACCTGTAGGAGCCGCACACAGCCCGGTCTCCATCCACGAACATGAACTTCTGGGCCAGGGCGCCCTTGAACTTGGTGGCTGATCGTGTGAAGAACTCAGTTCCCCCAGTGCTGCGTACCCTGAGATTCTGTGTTGGGGGAACAGAGAGGCAGAATCAGTCAACCATCACACTGAGCTCCCGGGGCTAGGTAGAGAAGGAGACTGACCAAGACTCAGGGAGGGCGTTGCAGGGGACAAGGATAAAGAAGAGATGGTGAGATGTGGGGAAAGGGCTGGTATGTCTGAGACTGCAGGGTCCAGGTAAAGGGGGGGACACAGAGGACCCAACACTGGTGATGAAGGGTCTGAGCCAGGATGGTGTTGGGCTTTGGACCCCAGTGTCACAGAACAGCACCAAACAGGATAGAAATTAAGCGGCCAGGCCTGTTTGAGAAATGCCACATGGTGGGCAGAAGCCACTGGAGCATTTTTTAAAAATTCTTATTATTATTATTTCTAGACAGGTTTCATAAGTTGTTGAGGGTCTTGCTGAGTTGCTGAGGCTGGCCTCAAACTCGGGCTCCTCCTGCCTCACCCAACCTTGTAGCTGAGATTACAGGCGTGCGTCACCGTGTCCAGCTATGTCATACGGTATCAAATGGGAGGGTGATATTTTGGAAAGGTCCCATTGCCGGCAGTGGCTGTGCAGATGAGAGAGGAGGGAGGAGAGTGAGGGGCAGGAAGGGGGATGGATGGCCCTGAGGAATCTGGGTCTTCCACTCTAACAACTCCATGGTCCCTCCGGATGAGTGACCGGCCATGCCTGTCCCTGTTGAGTTCTGTTCCTGAGGGCAGGACTCTGCAAACTCTCCTACTTCCCCATTGCTAGGACACCTCCTGGCACCCCAGACAGGTTCAATAAACAGATTCAATTGTTCACCAAGCTTGCAGGGCTGGGCTCAGAAGCAGGTCAGCGAGGCTCGCGGACCACAGGAGGGGAAAGGAGACCCAGAGAGAGGAGAGGACTCTCCCAGGCATGAGAAGCAGAGCTGGATAAATAGCTGCTGGTGGTTCCCTGTTCCCTGGTCCCTGGCCATGTCAGGGGTCTCTTTTCCCAGAGAGGGGTCTCTGGAACCGTCAGAGGTCCCTCCAGCCAGCGCTGCATATGTGGACCCAGGAAGTGCACAGTGAGCCTGGCTGAGACCCAGGCATCTAGGGACAGCCCACGGGCATTCAGAAGGGAGCCCCAGGTGGACAGGGGACCTGGGGCCATAGGGTCCTAGCCTCACCAGGGCATTGCGCTAGCATGAAGGCCTCCAGGTGTCCCCAGAGACTATTTCAGGAGGCCTGTGATGAGGCTTGGGGTTCTTGGTGTGGCTGTTTGTCCATTCACTCTAAGGACCACACCCAGGGACACCCGACCTTGGAGCTACAGCCCAAGCCCTTTGCTTTTTTTTGTTTGTTTGTTTTTTGTTTACTTTTGCTTTGAGATAATTACTCGTCAGTTGCTGGCCTGGAACGTGGGATCCTCCTGCCTCAGTCACTTGAGGAGCTGGGTTTAAAGATGTGCACCACCACACACAAGTTTCAGGGATCCTGACACCTCAAGAGCATCCTGACTGGTCTGACTGAACACCTCCTACAATGGGGAGTCTCGTTCTCGACCAGCCTGGGGCATCAGGCAGTGACACATTCTTCGTCAGACTGAGCGGTGACTTATCTACCTGTCCCCTTATCCACTCCAAGGCCAAGCTTATTAACTGCCCACAGGTTTGACTGTTCATTGACCCCTGCTAAGGCCCCCAGGGGTGGACAGAGATGACAGTGGCAAGGATCCTGCTCTGGGGGAAGCAGATGAGTAAACCCGGCAACAATTGGGAGCGCTCAGGATGAGGAACCCCGGGAGTGACCTGGGGGAGGCTCCCAGGAGAGACGGCATGGGTCAGGGTGGGAGAAGGGCGAAGCCTTCTAGGCAGAGGGACTTCCAAAGGCCTGGCTCAAAGGAGTACCTCAGGGAGGAATGGTGGGGTGAGGGAGCCTGCACGGCAGGCTGAGCCTGAAGCTGAGGGGCAGTAGGGAGCCATGGAAGGATTTAGAGCAAAAAGTACCACATGTCAAGAACCGTTCTGGCTCTTCTAGAGGAGAGAATGTAAGAGACGAGTGTGGAGACAGCAGGTAGAGAACGGGGAGGAGGACCTGAAAGAGGGAGAGGACCATCCACCACTGTCCCCTGCTCCAGGGCTCCTTTCCGTGTCCCACCCCCCTCTGGCTGGGGCAGCCCCAAGCATATCCACAGAGGAAATGACAGGAATGGGCCCCTGGGTGGGTCCTCACGCAATGCTCACCCAGCCGTGGGGTGAACAATCGTCTTGCTGTTGGGCCCAACCCAGAAGGCAGATAAGCCTCTGTTCCCAGGGAAGGCTCCCTAGGCCCCCGCCCCGCAGGCTGCCTGTCTGCACAGCTGGCCACGGCCCAGGACAATTAGCACTCGTGACTTTGTACCCAACACAAGAGCACACTTGGGGATGAGAGGTCAGAATAAAGACCTTAGAGGCCTTCTCCTGTCACCTGGGCCCAACCACAGCCCAGCTCTGCAGCCGCCCGTGGTTTCCACGCCCAGTGGTGTGTGCTGGGGCCATACCCCTGTCCTCAGCCACCAGCCTCTACACCCCTCTCACCAGTGCCACCCCTCCCCGCAAAACTTTGTCCTGATGAGAGGCTCAGAAAGTCACCACTTACATCCTAGGAGTGACTACCACATAAGGCAGACCTTGGCTGTGCTGCTGACCCACTGTGTGACTCTAAGCAAGCTGTTGGCCCTCTCTGGTCTTTAGTTTCCCTGTCTGCACACTGAAGGGTTGGCCCTAAACTCAGAGGCTCATCTCACTCTAGGGCTCGGCAGCAGGTGGGGGCTTGCAGCAGGGACCCCCCATCCTCTGCCTCATGGGCTGTCCCCAGCCTGTTCCTGGGTGGCCCCACCCCATGAGGCCTGTCCTGGATGAAGTCACGTCTCATGTGTCTAGACTCGCGTGAGCAGAGGCGGATGATTCCACAAAGCTGCATTGTCTCCGAGGTTCCGGGATACCCCCAGCATAAGATGGGCAGATGCATGGAAAGACAGGCAGGCTGGCCCAAGTGGGTGTCCTGGGTACATCCTTGGAGCCTCTGGAACCTCAGAAGGTCAAGGGCAAGTCAGAGCAGGGCAGGGGAGTGGAAGATAGTCAGACAGCTCTTCATCTGCTCTCAGAGGGCAGCTTCTTCCCCAAGTGCATATGGGGGCAAATTGCAGCCCATTACCCTGAAACTACCACTAGGCCACCTGTGCTCATAAGACCATGTGACCCAACTGAGCAGGGTGGGTCTGGGCACTCTTGAGCTCTGGTCAGATGCGGGAGCCAGTCCTGCTACCAACAAGGCCTCTCCACACCTGATTTCTCCTCTGCGAAGCCACGTGTAGGGGTCCTGGAAAGTGTCTGGCTCTCACCGAGGGACCCATGAGCTCCAGGTAGCACAAACGCTGTAACTGTACAGGGCAGTGGGTGACTTACAAAGGGGACCAGAAAACATCTGGAATGGCAGCTGGCCAGGTGGACTCAGGAAGAGGAAACGACTTTCCCACAGTCTCCCAGTGGGCGGGGTTCAGCCCAGACCAGAGGATTGAGGATAGGTCTTTAGCTGACTGTCCTCTGCAAGAGGCCTGTGCATCCTGGGTCAGAGGAGGAGTGGAGGCCTACTGATGTGCCCTGACCAGGCCTGGGCTGAGAACAGGGAACAAGTGTGCAGAAACTCGAGGACAGAATCCAATGTGACAGGGGAGTCTGCACACCTGAGCTACTGTCTCCACTGAGGGACAGGTTTCACTCTATAATGTGGCTACGGGAAGTCTTTTGTGGACCATCTTCATGGGACAGGGGATGGAAGGGATGGGACAGGGCTGAGCCAGTTTAGCTCCAAGCCCTTATCTGAGGGCACCTGGGTCTTCTAGACCAGGGCTGCTCAGCCTCAGCTGAGGAAAATTCTCAAAAATGTGGGTGAGGAAAATTCTCAGGGGGAAAGGTCTGGGCACTAACAACATCCTTGGCCTCTACCCCTAGATGCCAAATGATCTGTGACCGTAAACTATGTCTCTGCACATTGCCCTCAGCAGGGCAGACCCCTACCCCTTCACCTCCTATTTAAGACCCCTCCCTCTACCCTGGATCCATCACAGATCCAGGCCTGGGCCAGAGAAAGCAGATGTACCCAAGAGGGAAGGGAGCAGGGGGTCCCGGCCCGCCTCCCACATCGGGCTCCGTGACCTGCTTTCCACGCTGACCAGGCTGCATCTGAGGGCCTCCCCCACCCCTCCTCCAGCCCAGGAGAGGCAGGCAGGCCTGTCCAGTGAGGGACCTGCACTACAGCTGAGCCTGGTGTCGGGCCTTCCCACGGTCATCGGCTGACATTTCTCTGTTGAGTAGAAATGGGTCCAGCCTTCGCTCCAGTGGCTGCTGGTTTTTCCTGTTTGGCTGCACAAAGCAAAGCATCTGGGCCTCTCACAGTACCCGGTCTGTGTAGGCCACGAGCCTCAAGGCCCAATCTGGCACCCACTGGCTCTGGGGCACCCCTCCGCACCCAAGAGCACCCCTAAATGGGGCCTAGTCATGGGTCTGGTCTTGTGATCCTGGAAGAGGCAAGGAGGCTGGGGGACAGGCTGGTCTTCTTCCCCAGGTCTGTTCTCCATTTGAAATATGGAAGGGTCATCCCCCTAGCAGCAGGCTAGGGTGCTCGGGATGTCTGGGTAGGGGCTTTACGTATTGCTCACATTTGGGAGACCAGGAGCGGGTCAGCCTGAGCATTCATGGCGGCCATTCCCAGAATGTACTCGTATAAGCTCATAGCTCAGGAGGAAGGAAGGAAGTGAGGGTGAATCTCAAGACAGATGGAAATGGAAGCCTCTCGGCACTCAGACCACAGCTGGGGTCTGATCGGAAGGATCCTGCCTGTCCCCAAAGACAGCAAAGTAAGGCTCAGACGTGGCTCTTACTGTCCCTCCAGATACCCCACAGTCACTAATATGACCCCCCCACCCCAGGCACAACCTGCTCTCTGGGCCCCACAGAACTCAGGGCAGGTCGGTGCAGAGCTGGGCCAGGGCAGCAAGCGGCTGAGGGCGGGCCCAGGGATTACCGGCAAAGGAAGTATCCCGAGACAGGTCTGGGCCCAGCCAGCCGGCGGGCAGGGAGGAAGCTGGGCAGGCAGGACCTCAACAAGGTGACACCTGGCCAGGGCTGGGCCCACAGGAGCCTCTGGCCACATGCCCAGGGCTGCAGAGGGGGCAGCTTAGAGGCGAGAATGAGGAAGCCAGGCTCACACTTTCTCATGAAGGTGTGTGGCTCCTGGGTAGGTCCACCCTGTCAACCCTGCCGCCTTCCCAGAGAGGGAGACAGCCAAACGGGGGGTGGGATAGGGGGAGAAGCCCAGGAACAGCTGTGTGAGCTGCCCCTCCCCTGCCCTGAGTGGTCAGGGGGCCCGCCGACAGGCCTATGGTGCATGGGGCGGGGAGGGACTCACGCCCAAGCCCAGGGCCTGGGGTTTGTAATTTATTGTTATTGCCAACAGCTGCATAACTGTTCTCAACTCTAAGTGCTGGAACCACTACCGTCCTTCAGTTCCATCCTCAAGTAACTCTGGGAAGCACTGTCACAGCCATGAGGCACTGGAGGCCCAGAGACTAGAGGCCCAGAGACTAGAGCCACACACGGTGGTCGGGAGACCATGTGTGCACCAGGGTGTTGCTCTACTCTCCTTGCCAGAGCCGATGTCTCTCTACTGGCTTTTGGGTCAACCCACCTGGCAGAATGTCTCTGGCCTCCCTCAGTTTCCTCATCTGTGGGAGCCCGGTCCAGATGGCCACTGACCCCTTGTAGCTCCAGCTCTCCAGACTCCCGTGACCTCACAGCCACCCTCACCGCTCACTCCCAGAGAGTTCAGAACAGGGGCAGTGAGGGCTTCTCAGCTCAGGGCGGGGCCCCGAGCCTCCCCCGTGGCCAGTTGTGCATCAGGGTCCCATCTGGCGGCCACAGCTGTACCTGCCTCTCACACCAGGGATGAGCGAGCTGAGTGAGGACGGGTGTGAAGCAATCACTCGGCATGGCGCAGGTGCATGTGGGCATGTGGCTCTGCCAGGGTCTCTTCCCGGGGTGCAGGAAGGGCTGGACAGACAGGTGCTGCCCACAGGGCTGGAGCCTGTGCGGCCCAGTTCCCAAACTCTCTTTTTCCATGCTGGGACTCTGGCAGGAGCTATATGCCACCAGAGTGGAATCACGGCACTAAATTACACAGCGGGCAGGCGTGGGGCTGAGGGTCAGCCTACCAGAGAGACCACACGAAAAAGATTCCTGAAATTAGAGACTCGAAGCAGAGAACTCACACCCACTTGAAAGAACTCGGCTTGGGGTGGGGGTGGGGGGCTTTGACAGTTGCCGGCAAATTACAAGCCTGGTGCCCGGCTCCTGGGTAACCACCCGGCGCGGCCCACCCTCCTGCATCTATCTGGGCTCCAATCACAGGCCTGAAGCTCTGAGAGGTGGGACCCTCAGAGGTTGGTATGAGCCTGGGGCTAGCCCCCCCCCACCAGCCCCTGATCTCTAGCTTAGCAGCAGTGGCACCTAGGCACAGGACTGTTACCTCATGTGCCAAATGGGAACAACACAGACCAATCCCACTGGGTTATCAGGGGGATTAAATAAGCTAACACAAAAGAAGCACCCCATTTGGGGCCTGACACACATCGAAGGCTACAGAAGCAGTGACTGTTTCTAGGCATGCTGATCTGTACTCAGAGAAACGTTCTGCATACAGTAGGTGTCAAGCATGGGTTGGATGGAAGAAGGACTCTCCTTTACCCCCCAGAAAGGCAGCAGCAAATGCCAGGGTACCTGAGTAGAAGAGCCCAGCCACACCATCTCATCTGCCCTTCTGCCGAACCAGGAGCCCAGAAGGGGGAAGCAACTAGCTCAAGGACACACAGCGAAGCAATGCTGAGAACCTGGGCCCCATTTCCCGATTCTGTGTGTGTGTGTGGGGGGGGTCCTCTCTTCTCCACCTCTGTTCCGTCATCTCTCCCAACCCCAACATCTGTTCTACTGTGCTCATGCACCTCAAATCCATTTCAACTCTGACCTTGCAGAGTTGCATTTAGCAACTGAGACAGACTTGCATTTAGCCTAAGAAAGAGCTGCCTATTGTCCGAGCTCTCTAGATGGAGCCGTGAGCTGCCTAAGGTCACAGATGTGGCACAGGCTGCTGTGGAATATTAACGTGATAGGATACCTGACGTGAGCATCAGCACCTGCTTGGTAGGCACTTAGTCAGCGTTTACCTGTTGGAGGTACTCTCTTGTCCCTTGGCCATTCAAGCTAGGCGACTGCTTTGGGCCACAGGCTCTAGGTGCTTGAACTCAGCGTGCACCTACTGGACTCCTCCGCAACAGGAAGGTGCTCCAAGTGTGTGTTGGCTGAATGATCCTCACCCTCCAGCCACCTGGGCAGATGGAGAGCCAGCTCACCTTGAGGTGTCCCAGGTGCATGCGGGCCCGCTCACACATGTGCAGGAAGTACTTGACGTTGCTCTCATCCACAATGATGTACACAGCCACCTTCCTCTTGAAGCCAGCGTCCAGCAGGTCTTTGAAGATGTCCACGTCGGTAAACATGTCCATGACCACAGCTATCACCTGGGAGCAGAGACAGAGAGAGAGAGACCGGGTCTGCCAAAGAACCCAGAAGTGTAGACGGGGCCTGGGCAGATCACCCCTGTCTTGCGGAGGCACACGCTGGCCCAGAAGCCACAGGAACAGGACTGGACAGTGATGGGCAGGACAGGACGCTCAGAATACAGAGATCCTCGTCGGGGCCTTGGGCTGGACTCCATGGGGACAGCAGGAAACAGAGCCCATCCCACGCACCTGCCCTTTCTGTTCGATGAGACCATGGAAAATGGCTCAGCTGACCCACAGTGAGGAGCGCGGAGAGGGGAGTGGGAAGCATCGGTCTGTGCGTGCCCCAGTGGTCCCCCAGGGCACCTCCTTCTTTACCCCTGGCACATGCTCGGACCAGCACTCAGGAGGACCCAGAGAGACTAGGGGCTCAGCCCAGGGACTCTGTGTTGGTCCACTCCTGGTCTCATGCCCAGGTCAGGACCTGCTAGGCCCTGCCTCTTCCCAATATCTGGTGACACTGAGATGAACCAGAGAGCTGGGGAGGAGGACAGCAGCTGGGGTGGCCCTCACCTGGTGCTCCCCGTGTCCCGAGCTGGGGCAGACTTTGGCAGGCCTCCCCTGCCACCACTCCTGTCTGGTCTGAACAGAGACCAGACCAGCATGGAGTCGTTCTCGTCACCTGACAACATCCGTCCCCACCACGGGTAGTGCATCTACCGATCTTCTGCCTGTCCTAGCCAATTGGTGGCCTCAGTTTCCCCAGCCTGGGCAGGAGGCCAGGTGAGTAAAGGCACAGGACAGAGTGGACATGGGGACAGGGCTGGCCGTGGAGCCTCACCTCCTCCCTGGCCACTTGGCAGCATGGGCCAACAGCCAGACCAGGGCCTGTGCCTGTCACTGTTGAATCACGCTGGTGTCCAGCTCCCTAGGCTGCCTGCTCCTCCCACCCTTCCAGGATGGCCCCACTATCCTGAGTCTGAGAACTGCCCAGAACCTTACACAGAGAGGCCAGGAACGTGCCCTAGGCCACACAGCAAGCTGGGGAGTCAAGCTAGAACTCACCCAGGCCTGCTGGGGAGCCAAACTCACCCTACCCCTGCCATAAGAGTGACCTGGAGGTCTCCCTCCACTAGGTTCTGTCCATGCAGGTGATGGGAGGCAGCCTGCAGCCTGCCAGGGACGTGCCTGCACACCCACAGTGAGCTCACCAGGCTGGCCCCTGCAGGCCCATCTGGGCTCCTCCTGGGCCTCAGGCCCCTGCTACACCCATTGCTCATCTGGCACCAAAGCCCAAACTCCTGCACAGAGAAGGGTTCCATGCCTACCCTGCTATGAACTTGCTGTGTGACCCTGATCAAGACCCTTAACTCCTCTGGGCATCCAGTTTTCTCATCAATGTAACCATCTCCAAGTCTGAAGGGCTATTTGGGTACAGTCAACGCAGAGGCTGAGACTGGCAGGTACAAGCCAAAGAGAGGCAGGTGGGAGCACCAGATGAGGAAGTGCTTTCTGCCCCCCAGAGCTGCCCAGGGCTGAGCAGGTATCTTGAGAGGGAGTGAGCTCCCCAACCCAGGAGGCATTCAAGAAAAGACAGAGATTGCTTGGGAGGAGGTAGATAAGAGGGCAGAGGAGACATCGTGTCTGCTGAGTGGCTCTGATGACCTCGGATTTTACCACCAGCTGAGGGTATTGATACCCTGAGGTTGGGGGCAGGACGGCAGCAGGCAGCTCCTTACTGGGGATTGTAGCCCCATGACGCCCTTGAACGAGCCGCTCCTGGGCAGGCAAATGGCCTCACGTGCTGCCCTGGAAAGGGGCCTGATGGGGCACAGCCAATACGCCTCTCCCCAGAGGCACACCAGCCCCCTCCCACCCCTAGATGGGTCAGGGCAGGTTCCAGGCCCTGCGCACCTTGGCGGATGGGTACTAGCCCTGGGCTTGGGCGGGGGAGACGTGCCCCAACAGGACCTGTGCCACGTGCAGTTCCCCCATGCTGTCCTTAGCCAAGAACGTCCCTGCTGCAGGGTGTATGTGCTGGAGGCTGGCTCTGTTGGGGCCTGCCCCCCAACGGGGATCCCCCACAGGTCCATGGCTGGGGGCTGGCTCTCCCCAGGGCAGCATTAGGCTCTGTGCCTCGTGGTCAAAGGAGGGCTTGTAACAGGTGCTAGCAGACGGTGGTGACAGGGCCAGCCAGCCACATGGCTCCCTGGGCTCTGGGATATTGCTAGAATAGGGACGGGGTGTCTGGTGCTCCCAGAAACCCTCTCAGCTTGACCTGTCCCTGGTCAGGCCACCAAGGTTTCCTAGAGGTCCCTGAGACATACCATGCCTTCCCATTTTATAGATGGGAAAGCTGGGACCAGGGTCGGCAACTGAGGCCCTGGGTTCCCACCCTCTGCCAGTCCCCAGCCCTCGCCTGGCTTGAAGGTTTACCATCCGACCTTGAAAACCAACCGCAACTGGCTCCTTGGGTCTTCACAAAAAACACCGCAGGCAGCAGTTCTTTTCTCGGTTTTGCAGATGAGGAAACCGAGGGATGGTGGCATTCGTTCCCCTGCCTAATGATCTGTTGGGATGGCCCAGCTCACTTGTGACACAGAGCTCATCGAGGGCAGAGCCCAACACGGGGCATGGCCTGAGGCAGGTCTCAGAAAGCTTTGATCAAGTGAGAAGGAGACTCAGTGGCTCCTGGGCCCACAGCCCCTCCTGGTCCCTCGGTTTCCCCATCTGCCTAATGGGAGCATGGGCCTGGCTCACCCCTAAGTTCTCACCAGTCTGAAGACCCTCCCCGCAGAGGAGAGCACCAGTCACCTTCCACAACCCCAGACAGAGCCCCCCGCAAAAGGGAGAGCAGGCCCAGCACTGGTGCTCTGGTTGGGGCAGTGAATGAGCAGCCCCCTCCCTAGGCCTCGGTTTCCTCATCGGTAGAACAGAGGGTTACGACAAGATGCCCAGGATGTTCCTCTCTGATGTCTTGGAAGGACCCCACCTTTCTCTGCCCTTGTGCCCTGCCCACAGCCTGGCACAGCCTGTCTAGGCTTGGCTGGCACATCTCGCCCCACCCATGGGCCTGCGACAGGAAGTGCCAGTGGCCACCCCACCTCCCTGCACCCCCAAAGGCCCCACCAGGCGCCGACACCAGTCTGTGACTCCCGGCACCCACAACAACTGTTTTCTAGCCTCCCTTTGACCACAGACTCCACTCTACAGAGTGGGTGGAACAGGTCTCCTGGAAAGCACCCGTCCGTCCCAGGAGAGCAGGGTGAGGCTGGCTGGCCAGAAACAGCTGGAAACCACGGGTGCACGAGCCCAGCGGCTGCAGCAGCACCTCTCCTGGGGGGCTCTGACCCCACCAGTCCCTCTCCCCAAGTTGTCCTGCCTCAAGCCACCGGCACTCCATACAGACTGTCTCCTTGTGGGCCGGCCACTTGCTGATTTTTGTCTCAGTCGGGACAATTCCCATCCATCCTTCGAAACCCAACCTAAGTGCTCCTCCTGCCTGGCTCCCCAGTCCTCACTCCAGCCTGTCTGGCTTCAGCTCGGATCCCTGGTGCATTTCTGGAGATACACAGCGATGGAGTCTCCCCAAGGCCTGGAACCTGAGGTAGGAGTCGAGGAAGAGAATTTCCTGTACCTGGCAAGCCCTCGGGAACAGCCCTACCTGCCTTACCCTCCCAGGCCTTGAAGAATCCTGAGAAGGCAAAGTGCTCCAGAGGGGAAGGGGAGAGACACATCCCAGTCCTCCCCAGAGCCTGGAATCCTGGAGGGGTCTCAACTCAGTGCACAACTGCAGACAAGTCACTTTCCCCCACTTGGGAAGTGCAGGAGATGGGACAGAGTCTGGGTTTGCAATCATCTGCTGTGATGATGGATGGCCTCGGGACCACCTGACTCCCATCCTAGCTCCTCCTGAGAAGCTGTAACATCAGGCAAGTGCCTTAGTTCTCAAGGGGACAGTAACAATCCCCATGCACAAAGACACCGGGGTGAGGAAGTGCATACGGATGGATGGGTGGACAGCCCGGCGCTGGACCAGCAAGCAGCAGCTCCACTCAGCCCCTCCTCCTCCCAACAGCCAGAACCACAGAACCCTGAGGGGTGCACAGGCCAGGGATTATCACCCCCCACCACCCTGTCTCCTGCTTCTCTCCAGGCCAGCTGCAAGCCCGGGAAACAGGGACTGATACGTAGTTGCAGCTGCTCATGGGAATGACAACACTGTCGCACAGTCTTAAAGGCGGGGGAAATGGCCATCAAGACCTGAGATACAACTTCCACTCCCAGCCATGACAGAACAACAGAGACTGACTTTACCCTTCTGCTTTAGCAATAAAAAAAAAAATTCAGACAGAACTATGAAGCCAGAGCCATCAGGCAGCGTGGCACAGGGATCCCAGGGAGAACCCAACAAGGAGAGCCCCGAAAACACACCAGCTATCTCTAGAACAAAGCATCAAAATATTAAAAAGGAATAAATAAACACCAGCAGCCCACAACATAAATCTATCATGTCTGCTATTCACTTGAAAATTGCTTGATATGCAAAAGAATGGAAAAACAAGACTCACATAAAATAATAATAATAATCAAAATAAACCAAACTCTGACACAGATATTAGAACCAGCAGGCAAAGATATGTACGTATATTCCATACGTTCAAAAAATAGAGACACGGAAGATTTAAAAAAAAAAAAAGCTAACAAGTTGAATCACAAGAGCTGAAAAAGAATGTTCAAGATCCAAACTAGGCTGGAGCTCAGTGGAGCATGCCTATAATCTCAGCCACTCAGAAGCCTGAATAACTAGGTGAAACCATGTCAAAATTGAAAAAAAAAAAAAAAACCTTAAAGGGGGTACTGGGGGTATCACTCAGTAGTAGAGCACCCTTAGGTTCAATCCTCTGTACCAGGAAAAAAAATATATGAAAATTGCACTGGGTGGAATTAGTAGATTAGACACTATAGGAGAAAAGATTAGTGAAGATGAAGACATATCAATAGAAAATACCCAACGT